TTAATGGTATGTCGCTGGATTCCCACATAGCTGACCATGGTTTGAGTCCCAGACCCAACAACTTAAAGCTCACACTGGGCACATATGCCTGAGTGTCCAAAATCCCAAGGGGAGACTGGAGAGGGGATTGCAGCATGACTATCCCCCCGGGTGGTGATTTCTTACTTTCCGGCTCTCTAGCAAACTCATGCCCCCTAGCAAAAATCTTTCTGAAAAAAAAAAAATAATAAAAAAAAATGGGTAATGTATCTTTTGGATATATCAAGCTTTTTTGGGCCATTTTGCCTTAATCCTCAAACAATTTGATTAATTCAAATTGGATTAAGTAGTGTACCTACTACCTTATATTGGGTTATCCAGATCTGGGAATGACTTTTTCTATAATTCCTTCCTAGATACATCTGATTTATATGCCTAGTCTACTGACTTCTGCTGTCTTTCCATGACTCCTACATTATGGAAGTAAGTGAAGATTTAATACCAATTCTAGTCATGTGACATTCATTCTGAATATATATTCTCTCAACGTTTCTTTAATTACTAACCACTGTTGTAGCATTAATGTTTTTTAGCAAATTATGTATATTCTGATTTTGGCTGGCCCGTTTTACTCTACTTAAATGTATAATTTTATCTAACATTCAACAAGTTAGTACTCCTGTATATATTTATATCTCATTTCTATGTGGTATATACCAAAGTAAATTTCTAATAGAAAATGCTTTTTTCTTAGTTTATAACTTGAATCAATTCTTTCAGACTGGATTATATATACTTATCCATCTTTGAATTTACTATGATTCTTGTTTTTCCCACTGTCTGTTCACTAAGACTATAGCTTTCAAAGATTTCAGTTTAGTTTCATTGAGCCTGACAGACACTTGGCACAGCAGGAGAACGTAAAGACATATAAAGCATAGTCCCAGTCCTCATCTTAAAAGAATTTGTGGAGTCTCTCTTTTACTCTTTTTTTTGGGGGAAGGGGGGAGGGTTTTTGCTCTAGTGCGCCTGTGCTCACCAGAAAGACAGAGAGACAAAAAGTGAGAAATCACCCCCCTTGGGGGAATGACCATGTAGCAATCCCTTCTGCTCCATTCTTCTCTCAGGATCTTGGGCGCACGCACATGCTCCTGGCGAGTTTGAGCCGCTGGGTCCGGGACTCAAAACGCAGTCGACTACATGGGAGTCCAGTGACATAGTCATTACACTAACTGCTGGTCCCTGGAGTCTCTTATTTAAAAAAGGGCAAGACAGACCTCTCCTATTTGGCTTCCTACTCTGCAACCGAAAGAAAGTCAAATACTTTCCCTAAGTATTATGAAATGATGAAGAGTAACATGAAATAAAAAGTTGGTATTTAGTATGTTTTAACCAGATGATAGGATAAAAAAAAAAGCCATTTGTCTTAATGATTTCTGGATTTTAGGTATTAATACGAAGTCTGAATGTATAGAGAATTACCTATCTAAAAGCCCTATGAGATTAGACAAATCTTAGGCACATTTCAGTTTTGAGAGTAAAGTCCTATTTATTTTGCTACATGTTTTGTTGTGTTTTTATTCTGTGCTGTGCTTAATATTCACTTCTGATTTAATTCATGTAAAATCTTAGCTTTTATCCATTGAAAGATTTTTTTTCTTATTTATTTTAATTTGATGAGAGAGAAAGTGAGAAAGCAAGCCACCAGGTCCAGGACTCAAACCACGGTCAGCCATATGGGATTCCAGCGCCCTTACCCACCACTTGCTGGCCCCCAATTAAAAGATTTTTGAGGGGCCACTCAGTGGCATGGTGGTTAAGGTGGCTGGATCTCACATATCTGATTTCAGTTTGAGTCCTGAGCCCACCAGCTTTAAAAACACTGTTGGCATGTGTGCACGCATGTCCAAAATCCTGAGGGAAGGAATTAAGTCATGGCCATCCTCCTGGGGTGATTTCTCACTTTCCCTATTTCTCCCTGGCAAGTGCATAGCCCTTTAGCAACCTAAAAAAGAATAAAATGACGGGAACCAGCAGTTAGCGTAATGGCTATGTTGCTGGACTCCCACATAGTCTACCATGGTTCGCGTCCCGGACCCAGTGGCTTAAAACTCACGCCGGGCGCTTGTGCGTGCGTGCCCAAGATCCCAAGAGGAGAATGGAGGAGAGGGGATTGCGGCATGACCATCCCCCCTGGGAGGTGATTTCTCGCTCTCTCTGTCTCTCTGTCTGGCGAGCGCACGCACCCTATAGCAAAAAGCTCTCAAAAAAATAAGAATAAAATGACAATGGAAAAAATTTTTGAGATTGGATCTATCTCATAGTTCAGATAATTACTAAAGCATTTTAGATATTTTTAATGAAATTTGTATATAACTTTTCAGCCATAACAGGCCCAACATAAAGCCTAATAATTCTTGGTGGAGTTCTGTGGCAAAGCTGGTGGATGATTTTTTTAAAAAATTTTACTTAAATTGTTGATATTCTAGGAATCTTAAATATTTTAAATATATTTTCATCTCCTCTATTTCCTGAGCTTTTTGTTTAAAAACACTTAATTTGATGCCACTTGCTCTCATCCCATGAGTTCTTTGGTTCTAGGGAGGTAATAACATTTCCTAAATTTTTTTGAAAATTTCCTTTTTGTGGTTTCTACCTTGCTAAATAAACTTACTGTTACAGTCCACTTCTCTGGCATAGAGAAGAAAACAGCAGTAGAATATAAGTTTTAGAGTGCTCTTGGAAAAATCTTTCATTACCTCAGCACAAAGATGTGATCACCATCATCTCTCTAATTATGTCACAAAAGCTTACAAAGGAAAGCTGACATTTATCCAATTTAAACAGTATACAAGACAAATTAGAAATAGTTCATAATCCCTTAAACCATGTATTCTTCAAACTGCTTTCTCCTGACCATTTTTTTACTATTTCAGGCTTTTGATTTCAGATATAGTATTTTAAAAAGCAGTCCAAATTCATTATGGCTGTACCATAACCTAAGAACATTTTTTTTCCAAGAGATTTTTGCTGTAGGGTATGTGCACTTGCCACAGAGAAAGACAGAGAGAGAGAGGTAGAAACCAAGAAATCATCCCCTCTCAGGGAGGATGGCCACACCACAATCCATTCTGCGTTCTCCTCTTGGGATTTTGGGCACACATGCACATGTGCCCAGCTTGAGTTTGAAGCCACCAGGTCTGGGACTCTAACTATGGTCAGCTATGTGTCCATCGACGTAACCATTACACCATCTGCTGGTCTCCCTAAGAGCTCTTTAATAGTCACATATATTAAATCCCGGAGTAAAATTCAATACTAGAGCTCCTTTTTAGAAAATCTCTGTAGAGAGAACTTCTAATCATTTACAAGGCAAATTAATTATGCTTAAGAATCATGAACTAAAATCTTTGGTGCCTTATTAGAAATGAAACTGTGTGTGATAGCAAAAGGCTTAACACAGAAGTGAGAAAATAGAGAAGGTCTAACTACTAATGTAACCGTCAAGATTGACAAACCTTGGACCAGCAGTTAGCGTAATGGTTATGTCGCTGGACTCCCACGTAGTCAAGCGCGGTTCACGTCCTGGACTCGGTGGCTTGAAACTCACACCGGGTGCGTGTGCGTGCATGCCCAAGATCCCGAGAGAACGGAGGAGCAGGGATTGCAGCGTGGCCATCCCCCCGGGGGGTGATTTCTCGCTTTCTGTCTTTGTCTGTCTGGCGAGCGCACACGCCCTATAGCAAAAACCTCTCAAAAATAAAAAGATTGACAAACCTAAACATGCCACTTAATGAGTCATACTGGTGCCACTTAATGAGTCATACTGGTGTCTATGAGGTGGACTGATAGGTATATATGATTTGTTAGAACAAAGTTTCCAGTGTGATTGGCCAAGAGAAGATTCTGCTATTTTTTCTTATAATTTAAGTATAATTGACAAAATAATTCAGTCAAGAATTTAGAAGTATCCATGTGAAAATACTGAACTTTCATTTTTTGCCTAATGTACGCAAGTGTTTTAAATTTGCCTATAGTACATCTAACCTATTCCTGTTTTCTTCATACTATATTTGCCTCTCATCCTTTATAAAACAAGACTTTTTTTTTCACGTTTAACATTCCAGTTAGTTGTCCTAGTTATTCTATTTTGAAATGAACAGAAGGAATTTACTGAGATGATGCTGACACGTGTGTCTCCAGATGAAATTATCTCTTAAATAGCTACTAAAATAAGAAACTCAATACACTCTGAAAGTACATTTTCCCTAGTGAATAATATATTTTTGAAAATTGTGATCATCTATCTTCTAAAAGGAACTCTGCACTGTAAACTCACTTTTGAGAAACTTTTGAATGATTGTTTCCATAGGTAATATATTTCCATTAGCTCAATAAAAAGAACATGTTATTTCTAATCTCAAAATTGTTTCCTGCAAATGTGAATGACTAAGAACACATTAATAGCAGTTTAAACATTTCCTGTATTATTCCTTGCCAAACTGTAATTATATTTTGCTTCAGTATTTTTTAACCAGTTATCAGTTTTTAATCTTATCAGCAAGGCACTATGTATATACAGAATTAGTGTTATATAACCTTGCCAGTTATACCCAACTAGTTAAATCACTTGTGACCTATATGTTCGCTGAAAATTCCACACATTTATGAGAAAAAGTATACATATTTTTCCACAAATAGAAACTATATTTCCTCTACTTTGTACATTGTTCTATACCTTTCCCCACTTGTAACATATCTTGACAATCATTGTCAGTTTATAAATTGCTGCCTCAATCATTTTGAGGTAGGGATAATACTTCATTATATGAATCATAACTACCCATCCTATACTAATTAAGCTTATTTCTAATCTTTTGCTGTTAAAATACACTTTCTCACTTGTAAACTACTTGAGAATAAGGATTTTGTTGTTGTTACTGTTAGATTATCAGAGGGATTATATGCTCACTAGAAAGGGAGAGGGAGAAAATACCCCTCCTACTGGGTGTGGTCACACCACACACCTGTCTTTGTTTCTCCTTTCCATCAGGATTTTGGGCATATGCTCACACACCTGGCATGTTTTTCAAGACACTGGGGCCAGGATTCAAACTGGTCAGCCATGTGACATACAGCTCCCTTAAAAAGTAGGCTATACGGACAGACCTGGAATTTTTTTTCCACTTCTCTTCTAATTCTGGAAATTCAGTGTCCAACAGATATTTAAAAGATGTTTTAGAATGAAGTAACTATACTTTTTAACCAATCACTTTTAATCCTAGTATGTACAAAATACATGGTTTTCTTTGAGCTAGTAATTCCTTAGTTGTTTATCCTAATGTTTACAATGACACATATATAATTTTTATGATACTTATAAGAACTATGAAATCAAATTACATGTGTTTTAAATATTGGTAGGGGTTATTCCCAAACTTTTCACCAAATTTAGATACTAATTAGTAGCAAATGTATTATTTTCACCAAGTGTTCAACACAGTACTTTATACATGGTAGTGCTAAAAAGTGTTGAATGGATCAAGAAGCTTAGGGAAGTGAGAAAATAAATCTATACAGAAAAAATAGCTGATCAATATACCTAGAAAAAGAAACAAGGCCTCAGAGAAGAGGTAAAATTGAAAATGGGCCTCCATCTTTTCCATTACCACTAACAGTTACTGACTGACTGCCATGTCACAGGTAAGGTGATGAGCACTTTATCTCCTTTAACCCTTATATATCCTACAGGGGAGATTATCTTTATGCTCTCCATCTGACAGATGAAGTTGAAGCACAGAGAGGTTAAGTGTCTTGCCCATGTCACAGAGCTAATAAATAATTGAGCTGGCACTGAAAATAACCAGTCTAATTCCAGAGTCTTGAGAACTGTGTAAATGCTCATAAGAAAAGTAAAAGAGGCATTGAAAGTAGGAGGAGCATGTGCCAAAGCACCAAGTACATAGTATTGTTTACAGAGCAGCAAGCAGTTCATTGACACTTAAGCACTTTTAGAGCCTGGCTGCCCAGAGATGGCACGAAGATGAGACCAAAAGAGACTGCATACAGGTCTGAGTAACATAACGCCTCGAATACGGAATTTCCAAACAAGAAAATGGCAAGTTCCTTTTATCCTACTAGAGAACAGATAACTTCATCTCTTTTTCTGAGACTGCTCTGGCACAATGGTAGTCTCTGGTTTCGGTGTTTTGTTCATGGTGAGGGCTTCAGGGATTTTTATCCTTTCAAAGCTGTAGCATTCAGCTTTGTCTTCAGAGGATACTGTTCTAGTGCTGACCAGATGGAAGCCTTCTTTTAATAAAGTGTCAATCAGTAAGCCGAGGACATTTGTTCCATTGGCCAATTTTCGGTTATCAGGTTTTATAGAAACATACCTGGGATACACACACAAAAAAAGTAATGATATAGCATCATTTTAAATAACCAGCAAAACCGCACATATGTAGCTGACTTGTAACCTCAAATAAAAGCATACCATTTTTTATCAGATTTTGAGACTTAAAAATTCCAAATCAATAATATCAAGTACTGAATATGAGAGACTTGTTGCTATAATCTCCAGTCATTTCCATTCCAATTTAGGAATATAACTAACATCGATGAGTTTTCAGTGAGAAAGTATTTTCTGAAGCAATGTTAATAAGTAATTAAACTGACTGTATTTTTATATAATTTAACCATTTCCACTTTTCATTTTTAATTTGCTAAATTCAATGTAATTGACTTAGTCAAATGTTTTAATGAACACTGTACATTTACAATTCTCCCCTATCCCTGCTCTAATTTAATAAGTATTGGCACTGACATTATGAACTTCCTTTGTGGCTTATTCTTGTCAAATCCACTTTTTACAGCTGAAATTTTACAGATATAAAATACTAAGATTATGCCAGTTTTTACTCAATAACTGTCCACTGTTGAAGAACAAAACTTGTGGTCAAAAAGCCTCTCGAGTGGAAAGACCAAAACCCATTCCCCAGATAATTCCACAGAACCAATACATATTAATTTGAGAAAAATATATCTTAAGTTTTCAGATTGGCTCTATATTGGCTTTAATAATGTCAATACATCTCCATAAATATAACTTTATTAACTCCTTCATGCCACCAGGGATGCTTTTATTTGATGTCCTCCCACCACTTATTTACGATGTGAAGAAAAGACTTAAGATAGTTCCAGACACTGAAATATCTGTAATGAGTAAAGACACTTGGTGGACCAGCAGGTGGAACACTGGTTGAGGTAACTGGCTGACCACAAGGTTTGAGTCCTGGACTAGGCAGCTTGAGAGACCTTCTGGCATGGGTGCTCATGAGAGGAGAATTGAAGAGAAGGGATTATGCTGTGACCATTCCCCCCTAGAGGGTGCTTTCTCATTTTCTTTCTCTGTCTCTAATGATCACAGGCACCCTATAAAAACAAACAAACAAACAAACAAAAAAGACACTTGGGGACATCCCTAAACTTCTTTTAAGGATCATGACTAAAAATAGTAGGATTACAGCTCACATTTAGAAATTCTTTCTAAGCAAAGGAAACAATTTTAATAGTAAAATCTAACTACAAAACAAATCTCAAAAAAAAGTTTATTATGCTGGTAACAGCAAATTTTTAACATTAATATCATGCCATTTACTCCTAAACCCCAGATCTTGATTGCAGAAACATGTGTCAAAGAGAAATGCTACAGAATATCTTATAAAAGAAATAAGATACAAATAATATATTGTAGGCGGTAATAAAAAGGAATGTACTTACATGAGATAACTGAGTTAAAATGCATGATACCCTATGAGATGAAGTTAAAAATAAACAATTCCAAGGCACAAGGAAAGAATGGGGTATATACAATTTAAACTTATTTAAAAAGGTGTAAAAGTCATTACACTTTTCCATTTGAGCCAGTTCTAAAAGGAGAGGTCCAATGGAATAAAAGCTACCAAAAAGACTAGATTCTGTGACTATAATTAGAGCTCGATAATGTGAAATAAGCAAGTCAAGTATTTCTAGCACTGTGAACTTAAGTGAAATTAACTGAACAACCTGCTGAGTAAACAAAACCTTACAGTAGTAAATCATACTTATGGAACATCCTAGATAAACTGGAAGATGCACCAGACTATTAGGGGCCATTCAGTAGCTTACTCTTCCTCCTCCACTTTCTACCTTCCAAAAACATCTGAATATACAAAATCAGACCAGGGAGTAGGCAAAAATTAAAAAATGATTGCAAATTAGGCAGTTATATTCTCAAGATGGGGGTCGTTTTTTTTTTGGAGAGGTTTTTTTTTTTTTGCTATAGGGCGCGTGTGCTCGCCAGACAGAGAGAGACAGAGAGAGAGAAAGCGAGAAATCACCGCCCAGGGGGGATGGCCACGCCGCAATCCCTTCTCCTCCATTCTCCTCTCGGGATCTTGGGCACGCACACACGCACACGCGGCCGGCATGAGTTTAAGCCGCCAGGTCCGGGACTCAAACCGTGGTCGACTACCTGGAAGTCCAGCGACATAACCATTACGCTAACTGCTGGTCCCAAGATGGGCGTCTTAAGGCCAAAGTTTTCATCCATCACCAGAGGTCCCCATAAAGTCATTTTATTTAGATTATCTATCTATTTGAAATTGGCATTACATTTTTAAAAAGCACAAATACTTATGGGATGGAAAAAAATTCTGAACTTCAAACAACTGAAAAGAATGCCATTTGGAAATGCAAAAAAAAATGTTAATTTTAAAAACAGCTTCTGGTTTTGGAATTATCTATTGTAGAAGTGTAAATATGTTGCCTTTCTTACATTAAGATGAAAAGCTTTTCATGCTGTTTCTAAAACACTGAACAATAAGTGAAGGACACCATTTGGAATTGTATACACACAGGAATAATCCAATCTTACTTTCCTTTTTTAAAGATGTTTTATTCATGACAGAGAGTGCATGCACGTATATAAGAGAGAGACAGGCACCTTCAACTCAGTATGCTACTGCCCACACTACGAGACTGGGCCCAGTCTAGATCTAATCTAGTCTTTCAAGATTACCAACACTTTCTCCAAATGCATAGTTTTTAAAGGGTATTTAGTATTTCTAGGACATTTTCTTTTTACGTAGCATGTTTCTTCTGAAAATTAATTATACTATTTTTCCTTTGGTTTCTAACTTTTTGAAAAGAGATTCCCTAAGAAGTCATAATCACTAGCCCAGGTTAAAAAAAAAAATTTTTTTTTTCCCTTCTCTTTTCTTGTGTATAATCTCACAATAGTATCTTAAAACAGTTTGAGATAAAATAATATCAGCATATTAATTTAACTGGCTCTCTATTCCCCAAAATAATACCGTCAGCCTTTTTGAATTGGCAGGAAATGGTGAATTACAAAAACTTAAGAATTGTCATACTGGACTTTACTGTCTCGTGTTTTCCAGTTGGTAAGCAAGACGATGGAGTGTTTGAGGCAGACACTAGTATCCTTCCCAAGGGCTAACGTTGAAGCTAAAATATGCTAAAACATTTCTATCGATCTTTACTCCAGAAAAGTGTATTTTATTTTCATATTATCAGTAAAGAACACAGGATTTTTTCTTCTTCTAAAAATTAAATCCAGCTTTCACAGTTGGTGAAATATCAAGACAACATTAAGACATTTTTAAGGAAGAAAAAAATGTTTGACAGCAGAGTAGAAATGAACCTTGGGATCTAGCCAAGAACAGAGAAAGTGAATAACTGACTCAGGAACAACCATCTTTAACATAATAACAACCTTCTCCAATATTTTCAGTTGTGTAAGAGTCTAGGATATTAATAAGATACCAAATTTGCCATGAGATCTATCTGCTTCTAAGGGTGTTTTAAAATAAAGTTAGATGGGGACCAGCAGATAACATGATGAGTAGGTCACTGACTCCCACATGGCCGACAGTGATTCAAGTCCAAGCCTAGTGGCTTAAAACTCACGCCAGACGTATGTGCGTGCATGCCCAAAATCCCAAAAGGAGAATGGAGAAGAGATTGTGGCATGGCCATCCCCCCTGGGGGAGGAGTGGTTTCTCACTTCTGTCTGTCTTTGTGTCTCTGGTGAATGCACATGCCCTATAGCAAAAATCTCTCTCAAAATAAATAAATAGATAAATAAAAATAAAGATGGATAAAGGAGGATTAATAATTCAATCATAGGGTTGGAGAACAAATATATACAGTATGAAAGAAAATCAAAAGAAACTACTGAGCCTTTACTATATCTAAGCCCCTAAAAGAACCTCTTGAAAAATAAGGTGATTCATTTCTAAGCCAAAATCATTAGCAATGGAACATAATCTGAAACATTATTTCTTCCTGTATCCTGGGTGACCATAGTCCATCTTCCCTGGGCCATCCTGGTTTATTCGTATTACCCTATATATTAATGATATCCCCTTTCACTCTGAAAAGTATCCTAGTTTGGAAAATAATCATTTGATCATTCTACCCAACTTAACTAGACACCCCAAAACATTATTCTGAATGATCATTTTTCCCATTAAAAGTTTCAAGCATAAGGAACTTTCATTTTGGAGGGAAAAGATCAGAAACTGGCACAGAAGAGAAATACTTCAAAGTACAAAATACCTGACTCCCGTTTGGTTGTCAGTACTGCTGTCAGAGCCACACTGGAAAACCAGGTCATGGTAGGAAGGTCTTTGTGGAGGCAGTGGAAGTAAGGTCATCTGAGGAGGGAAAGAATTACTTCTCCAGGTCGGTGCTGATGGTTGTTCTATAAACACTGTAATCCTCCCCGTGAGCATCTCAATCGTTTCGCTGCAAGAGCCAAACACCCTGAAAAAAGTTTGAGTGTTTCGACTCAGGAAATGCACCTCCAAAAGAGCAGGTCTCAGCTGTAGCAGGTGTTGGTTTAAGAGGTCAACCAGAGAATCAAGTTCATAGAAAAGAGCCTCTCTCTGAAGCCTATGGTAGTCTGAAAAATCAGTGGGTAATAAAAGCTGGTGAGTTCTTAAAAAATCTAAGATGAAACTAAATAAGACACCATCTCTGTCCACAAAAATCTGGCCACCAACCATCTTGAATTCTTGGTCTCTGCCATCTAACATTTGTGCCAGCCGAGAGGCAGGAAACTGCTTTATGGTGAAAAACTTTGTTGTAAATATCTTCCCTCCCACGTTCAAAGTGACCAGCTCCTGACCACTCATTCTTTCCTAAGCTTCAAATTAGACTACAAAATATCAGCCACAGGCTTAAAAAGAACTTCTAAGTCAACCTATAACCATAAATGTCAGTTGGTATATGATTAAGAAAAGAGGGAAGGGAAGAATAACAAAAACTGGACCTAGATTTCCAGGTAACTACTGTATGGCAAAGAGAAGTGTAGCCATAGCTGTGTTTGCAAATTCCAGTTGCTTGGGAACTCCCAATATACAAATGAAAGATCAACAGGGAGGAACTGTACAGTTTAAGGAAAACTGCCAATGTATCAGAGGATAGACTTCAGATCCCTTTCTTGTGCATTAAAAAACAAACAAACAAACAAAAACTTAATGAAAACCTGGTGTAAACCTACATTAAAAAAAAAACAAACAGGAGTGGGCAAAGTGTGTGGGTGCTGGACTCCCACATAGTTGACCATGGTTCAAGTCCCAACCTGGCAGCTTGAAAATCACGCCAGATACGTGTCTATACCCTGAGAGGAGAATAGAGGAGGGATTGTAGTGCCGCCAATTCCCCCAGGTGTGATTTCTCACTTTCCCTCTCACTGCCTCTCTATCTCTTTAGCAGCACATAGGCCCTATGGCAAAAACCTTAAAAAAAAAAAATTACTAACAGCAGAAAAGTACTCCCCCCTCCCCAGACCTTTTACCTTTTATGAGCCATCATGGCAAAAGTGAGATTTATTTTAAAAAACATTGTCTTAATTCTTATATGATCCTAACAATTTAGTGGCTAAATAATGAATTATGTTAAGAATAAGGCAGCCATTATCTCACTTAGCATCTTAATCTGGTTCTTCTCACAGTTACAAGGAGATGGTTTTTTTCCTGGACTTTTAAATTTATTTGCCACCATTTTTCCTATCTCTCTTACATTATACTTCCTTTCAACCAAATTAAAAGGACTAGGTAAAGACACCTATTCTCTGAAGTTCTATTTCATTTAGTGGGCTTTTTCCAAAGGAATGCCTTGTTCCATGAAAAATATGATGGAATAGAAAGCAGTTCTAAATTAATCTCTCTGCCTTCAAAATGAGAAAATTAAATATTTTCATTCTATTTATTTCATGTGAACCGATTGGAGGCCATTACTGGTCAGCTGATTACTTTGTATTTTATAATAGCTGACCAAATGCTTCATCTGTTGTCCAGTTAGTCTTACTACACTTCAAATTCTGTAAGCAAGTGGACTGGTTTGGTTGTACAGTTGCTGTGATACTTTGGAACAACACAACACTTTGTTGCCAGTAAAAAAGTGGCATTCCCATTTCCTACTGTTACCAGGTGTTAGATCTTTTGTTTTTAAACCTACCCCTTCGCTTGCAGCCACCTAACACTTTTGCACTTAACACTTTTGATCACCTTTGGTGAAAAAATGTATAAAAACAGAGAAAGAAAAAAAGGGCAGACTAAAATCTCTACCCTCTGAAAAATGTAAACTTATCAGAAGAAAATGCCAGCTTTTGTTTATGTAAGATTTATACTGGTGATAAAGGAATCAATCATTTGACGAAAGTTTGTAAATTCAGCCCACCCATATTTTCAAACAAACCATCTTTCCTTTTTTTTAATTAACAAATTGGCTTTATTAATAGAACTTTGCAAAAAGTTATAAGATTGCCAGTTTTATATACCATAAGTCACTTAGTACTTACCATAGAAAAGTTATTTTCCAAAACTGGATTCTTTCATTTTTTAAAAGAATGTTCACTGTCAAAGGAATTTGCTTTACAGGAGTCCTTATCACATGCTTGAAGAACAACTGCTCTTTGCACTACCTACTCCATCAAAATTACATTAGATCCTATGCTCTGTCACAGCAGAAATACAACCAAGGGGAAGGTGCTTATTTCAAAAGTACTTTTTAAACAGGAAGGAGGGTTCAGGACTGTACTACTAATGTACACATTCATCCTTATGCTACCTAATTTGAACATAAACAGAACATTATTTTTGGAAGGAATTGTTTTGGAGGAAATATCTGACTAGAATCTTGACCAAATCTGAATTACTATTCTATTCTCTAACAATATCTAACAAAAGACAGAACTGCATACTTGGAACAGATTTTATAACAGTTTATATTTGCACACAAATTCTGCCACATTGTTCAGCACCACCAAAGTAAAATTCTTGAATCTTTCACTGAAAATGAAAAATCCATCTGTCACCTGTTCCCAGTAAAAAACAGACTGTTCTACAAAATCAGCTGATTTAGTCAGATAGGCACTGAAGTTTGAAAGATGGTCTTTCCAAGTTGCCAATTCATCAAATAAAGACCACTCTAGGAATATGGTAGGACCAAAGAAAATGAGAAGGCCAAGCAGAAGGACTACCACAAATAACTGATAAAAGCTCCAGGGAATCTTGTTAATGAATGTGCCAGTGTCTTGAGGCAAAGAAAGCTTATCCACATCTACTAATTTTATGTCTTCCCACTGACTGGTATCAAAGTTCTTCATTAAAGGGCTAGTGGGCAAATTAGATGGAGGTAGAGGAGTTTCCTTGATTACTTTGATTTTCTCCCTGAACTCCTGCATCTGTTGCAAAAATATGATGGGTTCTGACACATCTTTAAAAGCCTCAGCAATGTTAAATGCCATTCGCTGCTCCTGCAAGATGGTGTTAAGTTTGTTAATCTCTGGGTCGTAGGCCTGCATAACTGCAAGTTTCATGGTCTCAAAGTCAGACAAGATTTCATTTTTCTTTTGATCCAACGTGTGTTGTAACTTCTCAAAGAATTCCTTTACTTTATCTGAATCTTTAGTTAGTAACTGTAGGGACTTCCTCTTGCTAGTTTCCAAGGTATCCAGGCGAGAAAGAGCATCTCCCCGACGCCAAGTCTCAAAGCTCTGGAAGAGGGACTCGAAGGCATCCCTTTCCTGAGCATAGGCATCTTCGATAGAACAAAAGACATGCTTGGTGTGGTCACCACGAGTAGCACAGATTCCACAAATAAGCTGCATATCAGTCAGACAGAAAATGTTGAGAGGCTGCCCCAAGTGTCCTTTGCACACTGGCATTTTGGGAGAGATCTTGATCTTGTTATACTTTTCCACAATACCCTTCAGGGAGTAATTAACCTGCAGGCTATTAACTCCCGTAGCTGAAGTTTCCTTACGGCATGTAGGACACTTGAATGGAGACGGCCTCCACAAAGAATTCCGCACATTTCCCTCTAAAATACCTTCTAAGCATTTTTTGCAGAAGTTGTGTGAGCAAGGCAAAACTCGAGGATCATCAAATAGACTGCAACAAATTGGGCATGTGAGATCTTCTTCAAGCAGCTCCATTACATCCTACCATAAAGAAAGAAAAATTTTATTTTACTCCAATAATCCCTTCTACGAGGACTGTTTCATTATAAGAAACATTAACATGCTCTTTCACTGAAATAACCAGCCAAACAAAAGAAATGAGAAATTTGGGAAGGGAATGCACACCAAAGCAGATTTAATCCACTGAGACTAGAACACACTCCTTATTAGTAGGGCTCCCTATACACAAGGCCTTTGTGTGGGCTTTCCAACAACAGTCTGGCTGAGACAGGGTTAGGACTAGGACAACTGCAAGTTGAGCCAGCAGGACCTAACTGATTGTTTTAAAACAGAGAGCTGACTACTAGCTGTCAGAAACAAAGCTACTCAGTGTCTATAACAGAATGAGCTCTTTACTCTGGGCCCACAAATATAAAATGGTATGCTGTTTAAAAGAAAGAAGTACAGAAATGTAAATCCAAGCATGTACTCCCATGTAGACTTTCATTAAAAATAGGCATATTTTTCATTAAAGGAAAGATTACGATTACGAAAATCATATGTTAAAGTACAAGATGAGAGTCACAGTTCACTCTTCCCTAGAAAATTAAATGAGTTTTGTTGTTTTTTTAAATATCAGCGACATCATGTAATATCTAGACCATCAATTCTCAAAATATGGTGGGTAGAGACCTGGACAATCCCTCTTTTGGGGCATCAGTGAGGTCAAAACTATTTTTAATACTTAGTAGTATTAAATTAAAATTAAAATTAAAATTAAAAAATAAATTCAGTTAGGTAATTTTTTTTAATCCCTCCCTTTGGGGCTGGCAAATAACACCTTAGTATTTTTGCATCCTGTTGACATTTGCACTGATGGCATAAAAGCAAAGGTGGGAAAACACTGCTGGAGCCTTATCAGGAAACAAGTAAGGCAAGAAGCACCACCAAACAGTATCACTAGTCACTGTATTCATCAGCACCGCACACTTGAAGTGGGGTAAGAGTAAGGGAGCCAACTTCATTTAATGTTCTTGATAAAACCATAAAAAATTCATTTTATTAAATCTCAATCCTTACATACATATCTTTTTCATATTTGTGTGACAAAATAAATACACACATAGCACTGCTGCTACATATCAGCAGATGAGGTCTACAGGAAAAGCACTTATAGAATTGATCTGCAAGCTAAACTACCTCCTTTTTTACTGGAATCTTATTTTTACTTGAAAAATCAAATGACAAAGCATGACTATTCAGACGTAGGTATCTGATAGACATTTTCTTGAAAATGAACAAAATGAGCTTGTTACTTAATGGAAAACAAATGACAGTATTTCTTGCCAATGAAAAAGAGTTTTTCATAGAAGTTGGAATTTTGGAAAACCTATCTGCCACCTGTAAACTCCAACAGATTCCATTAAAGACTTTCTTAATAAATGGGAGGACTCGGGAGTGTGGAAGAGTATTTTATAATAAGATACATCAATATTTGGAAATCTGCATAACATAGTAAACTATTTTTTCAAGTCGTCAATGCATAATATAAATTATGCATGGATAAAGAACCATTTGAAATTCAAGAAGGACCAATAGGTTCATAAATACAGTTTCAGTTTCCATGCTGCACAAAAAAACTACCACTTGTTGGGAACCAGCAGTTAGCGTAATGGCTATGTCGCTGGACTCCCACATAGTTGACCGCGGTTCGCATCCCGGACCCGGTGGCTTAAAACTCACGCCGGGCACGTGTGCGTGCATGCCCAAGATCCCGAGAGGAGAATGGAGGAGAAGGGACTGCAGCGTGACCATCCCCCCTGGGGGGTGATTTCTCGCTTTCTGTCTCTAATGTCTCTCTCTGTCTGGCGAGCGCACGCACCCTGTAGCAAAAATCTCTCAAAAAAACAAAAACAAAAACAAAAAAACTACCACTTGTTGAGTTTGGGTCCAGTATCAAAGAAGACCCACAATTATCTGAAAGGTTATTAAAATATCCCTCCGTGGGGCCAGCAGGTTAGTGGTTAAGGACACTGGATTCCCACATGGCCAACTGTGATTCGAGTCCCAGACCTGACAGCTTGCTTTCTTGCTTTCTCTCTCTCTCTTCCTCTCTGGTCAAATTAAAATAAATGAATAAATAAAATTAGATAATTTTTTTTTTAAAAAGTCCCTCCTTTTGGGGCTGGCAGGTGGCATGGTGGTTAAAGGTGCTGGACTCCCACATGGCTGTTTGCCATTCAAGTCCCGGACGTGGTGGCTTGCTTTCTCACTTTCTCTGTCTCTCAGTCTGTCCCTCTCTGTTCAAATTTAAATAAATAAATTAAATTAAATAATTACTTAACTTTGTTTAAACTCAAACCACGGTCAGCCATGTGGGAGTCCAAAGCCCTTAACCACCATGCCACTTGCCAGCCCCAAATAAAATAATTCTTAAAAAAAAAAAAAAAATCCCTCCTTCTACCAACTACATATCATGTAAGTTTCAAGCAAACAATTTAGTGCAATAAGTAGAGTGCAGGAGCAGATAAAATAATA